TATCCTATCCTATCCTATCCTATCCTATCCTATCCTATCCTATCCTATCCTATCCTATTCCTTTCTGTTCTATTCCATTCCATGGCTTTGTGGGTGTGGTGTGGCTTGGGGGGCGTGGCTTGGTGAGCATGGCAGGGGAAGGATACTGCAAAATCTCCATTCCCTCCCCACTCCTGGGGGAAGGTTACTGCAAAATCCCCATTCCCTCCCCATCCCACTAACCTGCTTTCCAGCTCTGTTCTCCTGTGCAGGGCAACCAAAGAAGACCCAGCCGATCAGCTGGGACTCAGGAGGCAGAGAATAGATGGGGTGGGCCCAGTCAGAGGCGATATTTGCTGGTTCTCCAAACTACTCAAAATTTCCACTACCAGTTCTCCAGAACTGGTCAGAACCTGCTGCATACCACCTCTGGTGCCGTAGTAACTTCAAACGGTCACTAAACCAACTTTCTTAAGTCAAGGACTACTTGTATCAAGCCCGAGCAAAGGAACATGTTTAACCCCTTTTAAGGGAGGTGTTGGGGAAGCCACAAAACTTACCAAGGGAAGCAATACTTACACGAATTAATCAGTTTGGAACATCGGCGTTTGATATTTTCTAGGGTTTCTGGTGTTTTCTTCTCTCTTTCAAGGAAGGGAAATTTATTTATTTAAAAAGGAAAATTAAGAAGCCCTTCAAAGGAATTGGTTTTCATCGATTACCCCTAAACACTGGGCAAAATTCACTTTTTCATATTGTTATATGTATGTACTCTAGTTGCATTCCTAAAGCACGTGGACAGGGGGGGAAATGCATTCCCCCCCACCGCAGAACACCGTAGGACAGCTTGCAAGCTGCAAACACATGCAGGAAAATGCATACGTTGGTGAAAGCAGATGAAAACGTACCGTGTTTCCCCCAAAATAAGACCCTATCTTATTTTTTTTCCCCACCAAAAAGGCACCAGTTCTTATTTTCGGGGGATGTCATCCATTGACTAATCTCATTTACGTGCATCGCCCCCGGCCTCCTTTTTGCTGTCAGAGACCTTCAAGAACTTTTTCTGTGGCCAGCAAGGCTTTCCTGAAGGCTTTCCTCTGGATCAATCCAGAGCTTTGTTATCAGCTACAGAGGCCTTCAGGAAAGCCTTGCCAGCTTTAGAAGAAATGGGCTGGCAAGGCAGGTGTTAAGGGTGTGCAAGGTCTGGTTACAACTGTCCAAAGGTAAGTAGTAGGGCAGCTCCACACACACCCCATTCCCACCTTGGCTTAATTTTTACTCATGCACTCTGGAGTGGGTGGGATCTTTATCACGGCTTATTTTGGGGGTAGGGCTTATATCGGGCACACATGTAAAAATCAAGGTAGGACTTACTTTCAGGCTAGGTCATATTTTGGGGGAAACAGGGTATTATATTACAAGACAATCTATAAAGCTATGCTAGGGAAGGGTGCACAATAATGAATTAAGAGAAACATGAACTCAAAGGCCCTCAATCTGGTCAATGAAGTTAAGTTTAGAAAAATGAGCAATTGGAATTTTAAGTTTAGAAAAATGAGCAATTGGAATTTTAAGTTTAGAAAAATGAGCAACAGTCTTTTTAAAGACTGGCTGATGAATTGATTTCACGTGCAAAGGACTGTCTGCAATTCAGAATTAAGTCATGCAAAAATCATCTCCATGGTATCTTCAGATGTCTCCATCCGTGGACTTTATTGTGAAATATTATTAATAACTGACACGCAACAACAGCTGGAGACACTCTGGGTGACGTTGTCTTTGCTGATGTTTTCCCCACTGCTTCTTCTGTATTTGTCTCCCAGCAGAGCAGATTTTTAAAGGCAGAAAACAGCTGTCCCTGTACTGGGAAGCAATCCTAAATTTGTCCTCCCCCCTCCATCCTCTTCTCCAGATCCGCAAATCCCAGTAACTCCATCAACACCCCCCCCAATCCTGTCAAATCTGGGCTTGCAAAATTCAGACGGCCCTTAAAAGGTAAAGGTCAAGGTTCCCCTCACTCATATGTGCTAGTTGTTTCCGGCTCTAGGGGGCAGTGCTCATCTCCATTACAAAGCCGAAGAGCCAGCGCTGTCCGAAGACGTCTCCGTGGTCATGTGGCTGGCATGACTAAATGCCGAAAGCGCACAGAATGCTGTTACCTTCCCACCAAAGGGGTCCCTATTTTTCTACTTGCATTTTTACATGCCTTCGAACTGCTAGATTGGCAGAAGCTGGGACAAGTAACGGGAGCTCACTCCATTATGCGGCTCTAGGGATTCGAACCGCTGAACTGCCGACCTTCCTGTCTTTCTTTCTTTCTTTCTTTCTTTCTTTCTTTCTTTCTTTCTTTCT